TGAACATGTTCTCTTTTCAAGCCAAATCACCAAACGGGTTAAGAATGTTTAGATAGCATTTAGAGGCAGCTAATGACAGAGAAAATGACACTTCACAGTTCCTACTGAGAAAGCACACTTTCTCCTGCACTACATAAATGGATCTCAGGCTAGGAAAAGAAAACAATTCAGTTTTGCCAAACATCACTGTCTTCTTCTTTAATCTTCCATGAAGGCCACTGTAGCCAGATGTCAGGTTCTATGACCCTGAATAAAGATACAGAGCTACTCCTCTGATTCATCTGGCAGCAATATCAGGTAGCTTCATTTGCTCCTACTGAAGAGGGCAAAAGTTGAAGCCTTGAAGGCTGTAGGATGAAACAAAAGCATTACAGGGAAAGCTAGATCACATTAAAATTACATTTAAGGATAAAGGGAAGTCTCAGATAGAGGTTGAGTTCTGAATACAAACTTTATGTAACTTTGTGTACATGCTGAATAAATACATATGCTACAAAGTACATATTTCTAACCTGGGGTTTATGGGTGTTTTTTTTTCCGTGGAGAAGGTCTTTTTCTCTATATGCTTAAATTTATTAAGGTGTTTCATTCTGTATTCCTTACTCTGTTGCTCTAAACCTGTACTTGGCTGACCGTTCTTGCCCATAGCAGTGGTCACTACACATAGGCAGAGTATAAGAATGTCAGAGAAGTGCCTTGTAAGTCATATTTGAGTTGTAGAGGTCATGGTTCCATTGTAAGCAACCTGCATAGATCTTGTGCATCTGTGTTTAGGTGATATTATGCAATAAATACATTATTCAATTGTGTGGTTAGATTATTTACAAAATTAATACTTCAGCCTTATAAAGGGAGCTTTTGGTACTAGCCAGTTTGAGCCTCTAGCAAGGGGGGATTTGGGATCTAGTTTAATTTCTAGCCCATGTACTTCTTTAAAGGGGGCTGACAAAGATACTGCAACATGGTCAAGCAGGCCAGGTCAGAAGACAGATGCTTACATTTTACAGTCTCGTGAAAGATTTCAGTGTCTTATCAAAACATTGGAATCATTCTTTTTGAATACATCCTAGAAGGACTGAAGGAAGGAAGGACAATGTTTTTAGTCAGAAACTTTCTCTCAGTTTAAATTGCTTTTGATTTTTTTAAACTTTATTTTCAACAGGCCAATGTGGCTTTAGAATGCAGATATCAATAGCTGTAAATAGCTACTGAAATAGCACAATTTTATACGAAAGGTAACTTTGAAGTGCCTTGTAAGATGTTGCTATTATTCTATTGTTAGGAAAACTGTAATGACCACTCTAATCATATGCTTGGTATTCTCTGGATAATATTAATGCCCTCTTTTAAACTCAATTCTAGAAGCTTAACACATTTTCTTCTTTTGTTATTTCTGTTGTTATATTAGTTCTGCCTCCTGAAGTTTGACTGCAGATGACCCTGGGTTGCAGCTAGTTTTGTCACGAAATGAGCAGAATAAGAAAGAAAGCTAATTAAATTGTTTTAATTAGTAATGTTAGGTGCAGTAGCATGGCTTATGTCTCTTTGAATACAGTTTCAAAAACTAGGTCTGTTGTGGGAGCTGATGATACTTCATTAATAAAACAAGCAATGAACTTAGGGCAAAATATCAGCTGCACATTCCCCATCTGTTTTCTGCTCCCTTATATGAATTTGTACAGTGGCCTGCAGGTGGTGTCTGTGCTTTGTTAACACAAAAAAACCCTAGCTGGACCATTTAGAAAATGTAATATATTATCCTTTTGCATTTCTGGTGTAATGAAATGTATGCCACTTGGTTCCTTGATGTGAGAAAATGAGATATAGTGAAAGTAATAGACCCACATCCCAAAGGATGTTCCAGAAAATAAAAACAGCATGTCAGAGAAGAGGGGGGAATGCCTGATGGAAGGATAATACCTTACTTTCCCAATATTTTAAATAGAAATAGAGAGAAGAAGCCCCTCTACTATGAATGCTGTGTGCCCCCCGGAGGCTGGGGGTGCACAGCGACTGCCTGCAGGTGGCGGCAGAGGGGGTGTGATGGCAGCGGGGGTGCGGAGGGGGTGGCGAGCATCACCTAGCAGTCGGCAACTACTCTCAGATGCCACCAGCAGCATCAGCAGCAGCCAGCAGCAATAAGGGACTGCCTGCAGATGCCACTGGCAATGTCAGAAGCAAGGGGAAGGAGGGATGGTGAGCGGTAACTGCCCGCAGGCACCACCGGCAGCATTGGCAGAACTTTTTGCAGGGTGTGCACCACCAAGCTCAGGGGTGCACCCCCTATGTGTGCCAATCTGTGTGCACCCCCTATGTGTTGCCAATGCCCTCTACCTGTGATCTCTTGAGCATATATTCACAACCTTTTATAAAAGCAGGATGTTGGCTGCTGTGGTTCCCCTGCTTTACCCGTGGCAGATTAGGGTATTATGTCTTGTGTTATGTCAGGATTGACAGCAGTTTTACAAAGAGTTTAAATTATGGATTGTATAGGATGGCTTGGGTAGGGATGATCCTGCTTCAGGTAGTGGTTTGTACTGGATGACCTCTGGAGGTCCATTTCAACCCTATTTCTCTATGATTTCTTTGCTGTTAAGACATTTTTAAATTTTGGCTTTCAGGCTGTCTTCTCCTGTTCAAAGTGATCCAGGTGAAACCTACCGCATCAGCCATTTTGTAAAAGAGAATATGGCTAGATTCTGAAAACACTTGACAGTACAAAAAGGCCCATTGTTTGAATAAAATTGTACTTTATCCTTACACAGCATAGAGTGCTTTTACAGAGAGTTTGTCTTGCCCAATTCAAACAGCAGCTCAGGGGCAGAGACAGCCTGGAGCCAGAGTTAAATTCTGTCCTCACTTAAATCAATGGTGATGCTTCCATTGACTTTTAGAGACAGACAGGATTTCTCTCCAGATCTTTTGAATCCCAGCCCCACATGTCATCCAATGGACAACAGCTCCTTCCTTGCCACTTGTGATGAAGGCTCAGTAACTTCTCACACACATAGGTTGTAATCGGGTATAGATGCATTTTGTGCGCATGGGGAAACTGTGTTAGCAATCTGAAGCCAAGATTTTGCACTCCTTACTCCTTAGATTAAGTACCACCTAACTGGACAAGTAGTCCCACTGATTTTCTCAATTCTTCACCATAAATAGGCATATCACTATAGTATGCTATGTATTAAAATGCTTTGTGTTTGAAAATAAATTGGAAACATTTGAAGTGCTTGCTACCTTTCTGCTTCCTTTATGTAGAAACGTCTCAATTAATATGGTCTGCTTGCTAAAATATGGGAAATGTTTGTGTTATGGTTCAGCTTCAAAGCCAACTGAAGTCAAGAGGGTCTTTCATTGACTATGCTGGGTTTCATATCTGGCCATTGAAAATATGTAAAATTGGCTTGATTTTCATATTTATGTAGCATCAACTCCTCATCTTGACTTGAAGCAGGAGTTGTGGGTACGTCGTACTTCTGAGGATCAAGTCAAATTAGTATTATTTATAAAAGAGAAACCGGTGTGGCAGGCCAGATTTAGGCCCTGGACAAGCATGGTTTGAAATACCTATTAAGAGTGCCAAATAGCAGGGGAACACATGTGCATGGCCAAAGTAGCACTTCAAAAGTAACCACAGCACTTTAAAAAATACCCCCTAAAAATGAGGAATCTTTGAATCGCTTCTTTTTGAAGCACTTCCTAAAATGTTTGTATGCTCCAGGAGGCAGGGAGCAGGGTTGACAGCCCATGAGCACTCTCCTGTGTGCCTCAGCTGTTTTTGGGACCTCTTGGGACCATAGGCCAAGAGGCATGCATAGAATCCTATTGTGAAGAGCAGTACTGCTGTTTGTCTTCATGGCCATTTTGTAATGCTTCGATAGGTTGGGGTGGAAGGACCATGTATCTGTATAGCACTGAATTTTAAGCACTCAGGGATTTGTAGCACTTTAAAGGCTAAGACAGAAGTTACATTTGTTGTGTGATTGGCCCCTTGAAAGTGCTCTACAGCCATGTCCTTACAGAAGCGCATGGCTGCAGGATATTTTAAAAGTCCCCAATCCCACGACAAATTAACCATCATGATATGATGGTTCAGAAGAAGGTGCTCCAAAGTGCAAGAGAAGCTGCAGACACACTGCTCCTCAGATGTGTCAGCTCCAAAGCAGAGCTCAATTTCCCCCACCCTTCCGACTCAATAGCAAAAGTCTGTCAGCTTTCTGAAATGCCATGAGTTGGACTGGGGAGCTGCACATTTGTCAGCAAAATGCTTGACTCGCTGTGGCCTTAGTATTTAACATTCTCTTCTCTAGTAGCATCAAAATAATTTCTCATGGGCCTCTGAGCAGAACAACAGCCAACTAGTATTAGTTCAGAATTCTGTCTTCTATGTTGGTGCTGTATTTTGCAAATATTTGATTAAAAACATCCTGGTGATAAGTGCTGCAACTCCTACTGATGTCAGTGCCTGGTGAAGAGATTGTTCAGGTCCATATTTCATAGATTTAATAGATTTTAGGGTCAGAAGGGACCTATTAGAGCACTGAGTCCAACCCCCTGCCCTGGGCAGGAAAGAGTGCTGGGGTCAGATGACTCCAGCCAGGTTTTTGTCCAATCTCCTCTTAAATACCTCCAAGGAAGGGGACAGCACCACCTCCCTTGGAAGCATAGTCCATATTTTGGCAACCCGCACTGTAAAGAATTTTTTCCTTATGTCCAGTCTAAATTTGCTGCCTTTCAGTTTGTGGCCATTGTTTCTAGTTACCTCAATAGGTGCTCTGATAAACATCGTATCCCCTATTTCCTGCTGTCCCCCCAGTGAGTTTGTAGATGGCCAGAAGATCACCTATCAGCCTTCTCTTGCGGAGGCTGAAGAGATTCAGGTCCCTCAACTATTACTAAAAGCTAAAAGTCTGATACTACATCACAGTAATCATTGGGAGTATGACCGTCTTGCTTTGAATATCCATTCCTGTGCTGTCTTGACACGGGTACCTGGTGGTAGGCGTGGTGAGGCTTCATTCAACCTCTGAAAGGGGCCTCGGTCACCCCGGCGAATATCCCAGAACTTGCCTGCCATGACTTTGAATGTACCTTCAGTGTTGGGGTTCCCTGTTGGAGGTCCCTCGGGATCAAACGCTCCTCCTGATAGATTTTTTGGGGGCTCCACCTCCCCTACACCTCTTCCATGCACTAACCTCTGACGGGCCACCTGATTTCAATATGGTTGGCCCTCCGGTCCTGATGATCTTTACTTCTCATGCCCCTTTGGTATCAGATCCTAGTCTTTTCTTCTTTCCTGCGGGTCACAGGTCTGCTGTGGGTTCACCCCTTTGAGGGTGCCTCTCCTGCTGTGTGTCAGCTGCTTGTTGATTCTCATGGGCAGCCCATGTATCAGGGCGGCACCCTGATCCCCTCACTATAGGCATACCAATAAAAGAGAAAATAAGGACAAAATAGGAAAACCACAAAGGAATACGCACAGGCAAGAAAGATATGAAACAGGAATACACAAAGAAAATAAGGCAGCTAAAGAAAAAGGGGAGATCAAGCTAAACTGCCTTTGCTTCCATCCTGCCTTAGAGCCTGTGTCTGCCTGTGTCTCCTGATGCTGCTCCACTCTCAGCTTTCCCTGAGGGCTTCCTCTATCCCTTCCCTGATCAGCTCCTCTCCGGTGCTCTGGGGCTGTGGGTGTCTGGTGGGGAGAGCCTCTGTCATCCCCTGTACTTCTGCCACTCTTCCTGGAGTGGAATCTTCTCCTGCACGTTAGTGCTGCCCATGACCGGCGTGGAGGAGTGTTATAATTGCTGCTGCCTGAGATGCTTTTCCCTAGGCGGGGTCTTCCTTTGCACACTGGCGCTGCCTGCCGCCAGTGTGGAGAGCCTCTGCAGCCTCCACTGCTTCTCTCGCTCTCTGCTCCTGCTGGCTTGTGTCTACTTTTATTCCAGCCAGCCAGCAATCACTCATGATGTCACCTGCCAATCCCAGCTGTAGATAAGTGCGGCTGATGAACCGCACAGGCTTCTCTCTTTGGCATTGTTCGTCCTGTGTCTGGATTCCTAAAGTGGGTGAGTAACTCTTGATTTCGGGGTCTTTCTTCTGTGGGTGTGTAGCTTGCATCCTGGGTCCCCCTATGGAGGGTTTTTTTTTTGCTCCCCTGTGATTGTACCCCTGGGACAGGGAGAATTGCCATTGGATTAAGCAAAAGCAAGTTTGGACCCAAATGGAGTGAATGGGAAAGCTGAATGAAACTTTTCTTTGCTGAGAGTACAGACATTTGATTTTTTGCTTTCCTCTTATCTTCAGAGCCATGCATCATGTTGATAATCTGTGTTGCATAATCCAGTGCTTGTGTGTTTTTTCTAACTGTTCTTCTCCCCTCTGTTTTTGCAGTGATTTTTTCCCTATCTTCCATCTGCTAAAAGGCAGATGTGGGATTTTATCAGCACCTTAATCAAGAATACTTCACTGAATGGGATGCTTTAAAGCAAGGCTACTACTTGGTTTTTGTTTGTATGGTTTTTTTTGTTTTTGTTCTTTGTTTCCCTCCCACATTATGACTTTACAAAATAGCTTTCAACCTGAAGGATCCCAAAGCTTCTTAGCAGCTATTATTCAAGTCACAGACAAGGATCACATCATCCACAAATGGAGGAGATTCACAACATGTTGCCGTGTTACTCAGCATCACAGGGTGGGCAGTTTAAGAACTTATTGTCCAGCTGAAACTTCAGGGAAAATTTAAGAAGGCAAAAGAAGTAATTAATTGAATTGGAATTTGGCCAGGACAGAAGCTTTAATATGTTTATAACCTGGGCGGTACTCCAAGAGGTATCCCCTCTCCAATTGAAGGGATCAAAGCAGGTGCACAAGCCCTGTGGGAGGTGTAGGGACTCTCCTCCCCCTATAGAGCAGAGCCAGACCACCAATGGGGACTTAACCATATACCTTTTAATACTGGGAACATAACAGGCATAAATCAGAGGGTACAGTGGACACTACAATGCCCCAAGGGGGCAGGATTCAACAAAGGTTAGACACTTACGATCACTGACAAAAAAAAGGGTTAACAAAATATAAAACACAAACAGCAGAACAAACAATATGGGTTGGTGAAATATAAAAAGGCACAAAATGCAAAGGAAATGTAGGGCCTTGATACCTGGAGGCAGAGAAAGGGGGAAAGAAACACAATGGCCCCTTTCCACTGCAGGGAGATTTGCTTCTTGTTATTTCACTCACCCAAGTCACCTCAGCTTGGACTTGAACCCATATCTCCTATGTGGTAGGCAGGAACACAGCCACCACTGGTAGCACTGCTCCAGCCTGCTAGGGGTCTTGACTTTCCCAGAGCCCCGGCCTCATGTCAAGCTGCCCAGCCTCTGATTAGAGGAGCTGGAAGGAGAGCTGGGAACCTCTCAGGTTGCTGCTCAGATCCTTCCTGGAGCGGAGGGGAGCCTCTCCTGCTGGCTGCAGCCTCTCCTTGGGGATCCTGGAGCCCAGTGGGGAGCCTCTCCCGCCGGCTGCACGCCACGCTGCTGAGGGTCCCACTGCTGCCTGCAGGTCCTGCTCTTTTAGGGCAGTGCTCCTGCCCCGCTGGCTCAGCTCTTGCCAGCTCCATGAATCTCCTTCCTTGTTGTCCCTCGCTGGTCTCTCTCCTGAGTCAGTCTACGCTGCCGCTTTTATCCCCCTCCAGCTGACCCAAGGGGCCAATCGGGACATGGGGGGCTGAGTCACCTGATTGGTGCGGAAAGGGAATCCCAAGTCCTCCAATCATCTTTTGCCCTTTCAAAACCCCTGGGCTAGGTCACTGCCAGCTAGCTCGTCACATGTTGTATTTTCTTCTTTCCATTTCAGAGCAGCTTCATGGATATGGGCAACAATACTATAACCCTGCCACCGATTCCCTTCAGGGCTTGTTCCTCCATTCAGCATAATTCAGTCATGATAGTATCCAGCCATCCAGTCAATGGTCAGTCTCCAGGTTGTGTTTGCATGATTTTCTTTGCCATTCTGTCACCTGTTTGTCTCCCACTGTGTCCCCTCCACCATAATTTTTTCAATTATTGCCAGTCTAATACGTTGATTTCACATCCTGCTTTCTTTCCAGATCCTTTATTTGTCTCAGAACCACTCCATTTCAGACCTGCCTTCTTTCCAAGAGCTCTCATCTCTACTGCCTCCAGGCTTTTGATGTTCATTTTATTTAAAGCTGCTATTTCCAGTCCATAGAGTAATACTGTTATCACTGTTTTGATAAATATGCATTTTGTTACCAAACAGAATGTTTTTATTGGTACATAATTTCATCATTTTCTGTGCAGGTCCTACAGCCAGTGCACATCTCCATTTTAACTTGTTTTTGATGGAACTGTTGACACTGATTGGTCTGCCAAGGTACACAAAAATCTATTTGTTCTATGGCTTCAAAGATGCTGCATGTGAACACTTTGTCTGCTGCCCCTTTTCCAGCTATAACTGCTTTGTTTCTTGACATTTCATGTCAGGCCACATCAAGCACACTGATATTACAAGGTAGTAAAGGGTATCAGAATTAATTCAAACATGCTGGCCAGTGCTGAAATATACATATAACCATAAATTTCGATGATACAATGTCATGTTCTCCAACTTACTTGTAATGTCCCATTTAACCACAGGATGACAAACTATGATACTCCATGTCTCTTTCTCCTCCATCAAACTTTAACTTGAAGCACTTGCTTAATTTTCTATTTATTCTTGCAAAACCACAGATATTTGTATACATAGCTTTTATTGTCACAGTAATCTTATTTGGAATTGTCATATCACTTTGTTTCACTCCAGACTGAATTATATGACCTTATGCCGTAAATTGCTTTTTTCACTTTTTCACATTTACTTACAGCATGATTGTTTTTGGCATGACAAACTTATGCATAGTTGGATTAGCAGGATCTCCTTTCTTCAAGATGCCTGCGACTCTTGCCTTTAATTTGTTAGCTGATATTTATTCCCACATCTTCTTGTATAGTTTTTTCTGATGCTTTGATGACACTTGTCCTGCCAGTTTTTAATAGCTAAAGCCTGGACACATGACACTTGCTCTGATGTAAATTACACCAGGACCTGGAGTGGACAGACAGAAAGATGTCCAGGAGTAGTTGCTCACAGTGGGTAGTATTACAGTGCCTTGACACAGCCAATACGGCTACAACCTGGATAACTAACACATGGAAGATACTGAATTTTAGCTGATTTTTAAAAAATGAAATCTTCATAATTTCCCAAGCAGAAAACATCTTTCACCATCTGAGACCTGAGATTCTGCTTCTGCCTTTGTCAAAGGTAATTTGCATCATCACAGCCTCACAGGAGCGCTGAGAGACTCTTTACCAGCTAAGAACTGCCTGCCCAGAGGAGTTTTCCATCTTTTGACTCCTCTGTGAAATCCTATGAAATATGAACTTTCATTTCTTCCCAGGAGAACTTTTACAATCTTTTTTCAAATGCCTGATAAAGGGTGTTTGTGCCTGAAAGCTTGCAATTAAAGACATTTTTTCTGCAAAAATCTTGTTGGTCTAATAAAAGAGATCACCTCTACCATGAGCCCTGATTGCTTTTTCCTCTAGACCAGTGGTCTCCAAACTTTTTTGATCGCGCACCCCTATCAGTAAAAAATTTTTGAGCATGCACCCCCAATATATGTATATTTATATTCGTGCACCCCATCAGTAAAACATTTTTGAGTACGCACCCCCAATATATGTATATAAATACACATATAAATAAAAGTTCTAATATTTTCTTCCCGCACCCCAATGAGTTGTCTTGCACACCCCCTGGGGTGCGCACACCCCACTTTGGAGATCACTGTTCTAGACCAATATGGTTACAACCTGGGCACTTGACACTAGGTGGCAGGAGAACAGATCATAGCAAACACAAAGCTTATAGCATTGTAGCTACTAGTATCATTTTACTCTTGATTTTTTCCCAGAGTAATTATATACCACCTTCAAGTAAGCTATGCTGGTGTAGCCTTGTGAATTATGTATTTGCTCCTTGTTCACACAGATGTAAAACTAATTACAAATGTAATGGGTCCATGTCCAAAACTGATACATTTTGTTTTGAAAGAGTTGTGGAAAAATCTAGCTTGGTAGCTTTTCCTGTGTGTTCAGATCACCTTTTCATGAGGAAGCCAGATGCTTCATATGACAAACAGCACACCTGGCTTTTAACACTCATGCCTTTTATATAATGTTCAGGTACAGAATCCTTAGAATAGAAAACGTTCCTCATCAGTCCTCAGGACTCTTCTGTTTATTCACACTAAGATTTCCAAACCCCTTTTGAGATCAATGGCCTGCATGCAAAGAGTATGTCTTAGTATTATGATAGTACTGTGGACAATACAGGAATTGTCATACTGGATAGGTTCAGTGGTTCATTTGGTCTAGATCATGCCTCCAACAGCAGCAAAAGTCAATTGTACAACCATTTTTCCCTTAACAAATCTGCCTGTGAATGTTTTCATTACCTGCATAAGTGCCTGGTCCAGTTTTGAAATTTGTTAATGCTAAGACTCAGGAACTTGTAATGGAAGTGAGGGCAATAGTTTAATTGTGAATTAGATAAAAAGTGCTTTTATCATTTTAAATGTGTTACTTTTCAATGTCCGCAAATGTTTCCTTGTTATTCTATTATGAGAGGCCAAATAAGAGCTTGTTGTTTTCTGTGCCCTCTCCAGTCATAATTATGTACATCCCTTTTTTGGAGAGAGAAATTTAGCACTAAACATCTCTGTTATTTGAGTTGCAAATTCCTTCCATGTGCTGTTTCTATAATCATGATTCATTATACAAATAGATGCAGTCAAGCAGTTCTATTCCAGTAAACCTTGTGGTTTATTTCACTTCACCCCTCCTACATTTTTTGCCCTCATATTGCCCTAAACAGCATCTTGCTCTTTAATAGTCCCCTATCTCCTGCTGTTTAACAGCTCCCTTCCTTCTCTTATTCATTTGGACAGAGCAGGATATATATAAATAATTCCTTGGTTCTCACTTTTTTTCATGTTGCCTGCTCAGGCTAGAACACTTTTCTGGTGTACCAAGAACCATTGTTTCAAGGAAAGGAAGCTCTTTTTTGGTTTCAAGGCACCCCTCCATAACTTTTGTGAATTGTGTGACATCCAGTTTCAAAAACTAGGTTATATATTACAGTGCTTACCTCCTTACACAGGAGCTGGGCAATAGAAGTGAGAGGCAGTCCGGACAGGGACCAGCCTGAGCCTGGTTTATCTGCTTATCTCATCACACTTTGGGGCACCTTTCAAAGGATCTGGTAGCACCCCAGGCTTCCCCAGCAACATGGTTGAGAATCACCGCCTTAAAACTTACTCCTTTATCTCTACATTTTCCCGGGACTAAACCATTGTCCAATTTGTTGTGTGTGTTTGAGAGTCTCCTACAAGCTGCTGTGTCCATTCAGTTCCCGCTGAATTCAGCACTCTGTAGTAGAGAGTGTTCAGCAGCTCGCAGGACTGAGACTTCAGCTAGTTAGCTCACATGGACTGGAAGTTTGATGCAAATTTATCAAAGTCAATGGAGTTAGACCGGTACGATTTTGGTCCTTGGGCTGTTTTGGATTATGGTGGACTGTGCTCTTACTGCTCTCTGTAAAAAAAAATGTGTTTAAGATGAGAAAATAAAATGAAACCCCAGCTATATGTATGGTTAGGCGCCCTTCCACTCACAACTTATTCACAGCTCTCCCACCCAGCCACGTGAGTTTCCCAGTGCTTAGTACATTCTACACACTTCCTTTTTTTTTTACTACAGCCCAGCACATACTGAGTCATTCTGCACTTTACATGAGGGAGGGGAGGGGACATTTCCTGCAGCTAAGAGACAAAATTTGCTTTTCAGAGGCAACTTGCCTAACTTGGTCTACCCATATTCACTATGTAGGGCTGTAGAATGCAAAAGGCTATTTTAGATGAGTCAGGCAACAAAAATTAAGGAATTTTTTAAAACTTTGTCCTTTTTTACAAGATGTTTTTCACTTGCTTCCTTTGCTATCACTTTGAAGACTATTTTGCATGACCTTCTCTGAAGGAGTGTTTGTGCCTCTGTGGGGGATGATAAGACATAATGGGCAGTAGTCTTACCCCACCCACTTTAACCACACAACCTTTTCCCCTTCCTCCCTTGCTTTTTGTTATCCTCTTTTTTTCTAGATGGCAGGACATATGGGAGATGGGATAGCTGTCTCCTCATTATCATTGCACTGCAGAAAACACATACAGAGACACATCCCTTATACTCTAGCCACCTTTCTTCTAACTTCTTCCTCACTTTCGTAGAAGTGTGAGTGTAAACACAGCCTCCCTTGTGTTAAAAATTGCTATCAGCTTCTTCAGAAGTACTTCAGCATAACAGACAATATCTGTTTGATGTATTAAATCAGCAGGGTACATGCAGGGCATCAAACTATGATGCCTGCTTAAGAAAAGCTTGGCTCTTAATCTCAGTCCAAGGACTACCATGCTAAGAGCTGATATCAATTTTTAACAGTGGACATAGCTGTGTTTACACCTCACACTTCTGGGAAAGTAAGGAAAAAGTTAGAAGGAAGATGGCATAGAGTGCACCCTCAGCAAGTCTGCAGATGACACCAGGCTGTGGGGAGAAGTAGATATGCTGGAGGGTAGGGCTAGGATTCAGAGTGACCTAGACAAATTGGAAGATTGGGCCAAAAGAAATCTCACGAGGTTCAACAAGGACAAGTGCAAAGTGCTGCACTTAGGATGGAACAGTCCCATGCACGAGTACAGCCTGGGGGCTGACTGGCTGGGCAGCAGCTCTGCAGAAAAGGACCTGGAGGTTATAGTGGACAATAACCTGAATATGAGCCAACAGTGTGCCCTAGTTGCCAAGAAGGTTAATGGCATACTGGGCTTCATTGGTAGGTGTGTTGCCAGTAGGTCGTGGGAAGTGATTATTCCCCTCTATTCAGCACTGGTGAGGCCACATCTGGAGTACTGTGTTCAGTTTTGGGGCCCCCACTACAACAAGGATGTCGACAAATTGGAGAGAGTCCAGCAGACAGCAACAAAAATGGTGAGGGGGCTGGGAGACATGACTTATGAGGAAAGATTGAGGGAACTGGGCTTATTTAGTTTAGAGAAGAGGAGACTGAGAGGTGACTTAATAGTCTTCAACTACCTGAAAGCGGGGTTGAAAGAGGATGGAGCTATGCTATACTCAGTGGTGGCAGATGACAGAACAAGGAGCAACTGTCTCAAGTTGCAGCAAGGAAAGTTTGCGTTAGATATTAGGAAGAATTTTCTCACTAGGAGGGTAGTAAAACACTGGAACAGTTTACCCAGAGAGGTGGTGGAAACTCCATCCTTCAAAACCGAGCTAGACAAAGCTTTGGCTGGGATGATCTAGTTGGGGCTGGTCCTCCTTTGAGCAGGGGGTTGGGACTAGATGATCTCTGGAGGTCCCTTCCAACCCTAATTTTCTATGATTCCTTTCTTCTCTTCTCATAACTGGAATGTGGATAAAACCAGGAGAGTCACAAGAGACTTCCTTCTCCTGGAGCTCCTCCTGATTGGCCTCTTTTAAGGATCCTGCTGTTGTTCCTTAGGCTGATAGGTTAACTGGTTGCCAGTGACATCCAGCTCAGTCCATTTGCCCTTTCTGATAACAGTGGGTCTCTAGAGAGTATTGTAATTAAATAAATCATTCTGACATTAGAAGCATTCCCTAATGCTTTTTAATGCGGAAAAAGCTCTTGTTTTGTGTTTAAAACAACACCATTGTTACTTTAGGACAGCTTTCTTAAATTTAACATTACCTGTGCAATTTGGCAACAAACTGCCCTATTTCAGTTTACCATGTATCTTGCCATCTTGCCTAACTATTAGAAAGGGCTATTTTGTACCCTGCATCTAAACACATATTAGCCTCCATTAAAACCCTGTTTATTTTGTTCCCAGTCATGTTGTTGATTAGTGCTGGTTACCTATTCACCCACTTCTAAAGTCTGAAGTAGAAAAACAGGGAAAAGTGTGGTATGTGTTCAGGGAACAGCTTTTCCAAACTCTTATTTAAGTTACAGACTAGGATCTATTACTCGGAAACTGGGAATGATTGTAAACACATTGGAAGACAAGAGTGAGATTCAGAAAGATCTTGACAGATGGGAAAGCTTGTCTGGAGCTAAGAAGTTCATTGCTGACAAATGCAAGGTGTTACACCTCAGGAAGAATAATCAAAACCACAATTACAAATGGATGCCTTCTGGCTAGATGGCAGCACTGCAGAGAAGGATCAGGGAGTCTTGGTAGGTCAGAGACTCAATGTAAGTCTGCAGTGTGATGCAGCTGCAGAAAGGGTGAATGCAGTTTTGTGATGCATTAATAGATTCACTAGGTGCAAGATATGGGAGGTAATGGTGCCTCTCTACTCAGTGCTGGTTGGGCCTCATCTAGAGTATTGTGTGCAATTTTCCGCTCCACATTTTAAAAAGGACATGGAGAAGTTAGAGGGGACCCAGAGGTGGATGACAAAAGGCTTGGAAGGCAGGTCATATGAGGAGAGGTTGAAGGAAATAGGTATGTTCAGCTTGCAGAGAAGGTGCTTAAGAGGGGACATGATAACAGTTTTCAAATACCTGAAGGGCTGCCATAAAGAAGAGAGAAAACATCTTTTTTGTCTTGCTGTAGAGAGGAGGACAAGTACTAATGGCTTGAAGTTGCAGCAAAGTAGGTTGGGATTGGATACCAGGAAAAACCTCTTCACTGTTAGAACAGTGAGGCAGTGGAATAGACTGCCCAGGGAAGATAGGGACTTTCCATCATTGGAGGTGTTTAAGAAGAGGTTGGACAGGCATCAGTCAGGGATGATTGAGACATAGCTGTGCCTATGTTCTCCTGTGGGTAGAAACCATGTTTCTGGGCTTTACTGGTTTACACATGGGGCTGAGAAGGAATTTTTTCCCTTCCTGCTGCTATGTGAATCAGGGTTTTTTTAAGCCTTCCTCAGAAGCATTGGATGTTGGCTGCAGCCAGGCTGGGGTATTGACTGGGGTGTGCCAATGCTTCTGCTGTGACTTAAACCCAGAGGTTCCCAGCTCAGGGTCAGACAGATTGCCATATTTGGGGTCATGAAGGAATTTTATCCTATGGTCAAATTGGTGTGGACTGTGGGGGATTTTGTCTTACTCTAGGAGGAGGCATGCCCCTATTCTTGGGATCTCTCAAGCATATTTTAACAACCTTTGTAGCAGCAGAACATTAACTGCTGTGGTCTTCCTGCTTTACCTGTGGCAGATTACAGTGTTATGTCTTGTGTTTTTTTAGGGCTGATTGTGTAGTTTGGTAATGGGTTAGAAAATGGATTTGCATAGGGTGGTTTGGATAGAGATGATCTTGCCTCAGGCAGAGGGTTAGACTAGATGACTTCTGGGGTCCCTTCCAGCCCTACTGCTCTATGAGTCTGTGATCTGTGACCCTTATTCAAATCAAAATGAAAGTGAAGTCAGTAAGAGTCTGGTTTAACAAAAGAAGTCAGGATTTAGCCCTTTCCATTCAAGCAGGAAAGATTTAAATTCTAGACTCTGTTATCTTTCTTAATTGTATTGTTGTTCCCAGTAATTTTTGATCCTGGAGAATAATTTTATCCTGGACATTTATCATCCCAGACACATTTTTTTTTAACCTTTGTCGAACATAGCCAGCTATTTTTTCTTCTTATGCTGTCCAAGGTTTTTAATTTAACAGGCCACCACTGTTGTGAATTAATTTTGTTATCTTAAAGATTTTCCTCATAAATTGCCATAATAAACAAAGGATTCATTTGTAGTCTGTCTTGGGTTTTATATATATATAAAACACACACACACACACACACACACACACACACACACACACACGCCTTACATCCCATACATATGTAAAGCTAGCTAGCATGGATACCCATATATATAATATGGGTATCTATATACTAGCTAGCCTTACATATGTATGGGATGTAAAGCTAGCAAATTTGAAGGAAAACTGAGTTCTGTTTCAAATTATTTTGGTAAAACTAGGCAAAAGAGGAGTGGAGAAGTGTAGAGAAATGAGAATTTCATTTCTGGCTTTGAGGATGGTATAGTTTTGAAGGAATAAAAAAACTGAAATGGCTTCACAATATTTTAACTGCTCGTTTAAGATGTGTTTGCTCATTAAAAAGAATCTTATGAGTTTTCTGTTATTAATATTGCCATTACTAATTACTGTCCTCTTTTAAGGAGCTGGATGAGAGACATTGAGGACTATAGTTTATTCCACCTATTAGGCACGTAAGTAGATTTAGGTAGCTAAATGCAATTCTGTTCCACGCAGTCTGAGTACTTGCAAAGTGGTTAATAGAAAAGATGAGTGAGTCTTCTTTTTCCTCACTTCATTTTTTCTTACTCAGTCTTAAGGACAAGATGATTGTGTGTTACAAAGTAGATGCATTAAAGTACGGCTGTCCAGCTGGCAACAACAGCCAGAGTCTCTGGGCTCCTCCTCCCTCCACTGGCTTCCACTTCCTGCCCCTACCCTAGGGAGCAAGGTAGTGCAGCATGGGGAGCTGAGGGTGAGCCTGGGCTGTGAAGGCATGCAGTGCATCTTGGGGGAGAGTGCAGAGTGCAGGTGTGAGAGGGTGCCCACATGGCATGTGGTCCAGGGGGGACTGTAGCTTTGACCACTAGCCACTTAGAAGTTGCACAGCTCTGCATTAAAGGATTTTCAGGTGGTCAAGCAGGGTGGAATAGAACTACTGTTAGGTGCCTAAGTCCATTTAGACTCCCAATTGATTAAATAAAATCTGCACTAAATGGTTTGTTGTCCCTATTCGTCTGGAGACATCGGAATATATGGCAGTGGTAAAAATTAGGACTATTCCTTGCCCACCTATGAATCAAAACCTGAAGATATTAGACATATTGCATGTGCTGAGGCAGAGGAAAGCTTGTTGACTATCTCTTCCTTAGATGTACAAGACAGGTAGAGGGGATGGGTTGGATAGTCACCCTTTTCAAATTTCAAGGGATAAGCCACGGGCTATGGCTTTTTCTTATCCTAGGCAAGACTCAGCTTTTGTGATAGAGTGTTGCATTCTTTGGTACCACTCCAGGGTGACCTGATAAAAACTTGACTGAAACAAGTAGCAGGTATGGGGCTGAGACAATTCAAGGAGGCACTTCCAGTTGGGAAAGACTATGGGGCAGCTAAGCTTTGTTAGTCTTAGAAGAAACTTGAGCTAGTTTCAAGAGCTGCTGTCTGAGTGCAGGACAGAGAGCACATAAGGGGCAGAACTGCTGGATTTCTGATTTCAGCTGTTTTCTACATTTCTGGATTTAAGTTGTGTGAAAGGACTATGACCAGAGGCCACAACACCCCTGGGATTTTATATGTTGTTTTGTCTTCTCATGATTCGTGAGAAATCTGGGAAAATAAACCTGGGAGCCCAGAGGTTTGGTGTTCTTGTTTTCATTTTTCTTTCACTAACCCTTGTATGAACTTTCTCTTTAGTTGATCGGACCCTGTTGAGTCTACACCCAAGACTCCTCATATTTCCACTACTATAATTTCATTGACTTTACAAGGAGGGAAGAAGTAGGCTCCATGTCTTCTTCAGGAGCTGGGAGAAGCTCTGAATGTTTCATGTTTACATCAAGACGTGAACCACAGCCCTAATTTTATTCTCCAATACTTTTAACACCAGTGGCAGATTACAATTATGATGAGGAATGTTAAAAACCATTTCTGTGACAAGGGATATTTCAGTAGTCCAGAACTGTCCCCATGTTGGAGAACATTGTGAGTTTACTGAGATAAAAATAAAGATTTCAGTACAGAAACGTTCATTTATTTATTGTGTTTTTTCCCCACAACATCTAATGAGAGGTCAAATCATTCTTCAGTTTTTAGAATACACTTTTGTAACAATATTAAAATCAATCATGAACTTTCTAATTGAACTGTTTATATATTACTGTTGTGTCACAGTTTCTACCCTGCCCCAAACTTTTTGTACCTTTCAGGCCACCTCTTCTCCTTTATAACTGTATTAAAGTAACATCTAATAGAATTTCATTGTGCTAGGTGCTATACCATTGTGACAAGAGATGGGGGTGCGTCTACATAAGACGCTTACTGCACATTACCTTAATAACACTGCACAGTAGCATGGCAGTTAATGGCCTACTGTGCAGTGTTATTAGGCTAATGCGCAGTAAGCGTCACAAAAAAATTGTGCACTGGTGCTAATGCACAGTAACTCTAGTTACTGCACATTTAGTTAGTACTTTATTAAGCTAGTACTAAACTAAAAGTGCAGGACCTAAGGTGCTTTAATGAACATGTGGACATGCCCAGGATGCCCAGGAAAAAACTGGTGTTAAAGGAAGACAATAGATAGATAGATAGGTAGATAGATAGATAGATAGAGAGAACTGAACCACAGAGAGATGAATAGGGTTCTCTTGAGGAAAGCATTTAATTTTTTTGCCACAACTTGTTGCTACCTATGTCTTGTTCATATTGAGCTGGAACCACCACCCTCCCTTTTTGAACCTCAAAGCTGAAATCCCAATCTGGATATTCCTTGGTCAGACCCACCTGCTATAGGTATACAAAATGCTTAAGTAAAAGTGCTGCTTCCTTGATACTATTTTTGACTAGACTTCCATCAAGTAAGCGATTTCCTCATTACTCCATAAACCCCTTTTCTCCATAAACCCCTCTGGACTCATTATGTGGCTGTCTGTTTTCAGTTAGTCTCACAGGGCAGACTTTGTGCATTCCTGAAGCCGCAGAAGCTGAAACAAAGTATTACATTTGTCACTATATCATCAATATCTCTCATCTGTAACACACATACAAAACATGTCGGGACAAAAATCATCCCCATTGACTTCATGACTCATTATATCATGCATGCATGGACTTGTACCATGAGTTTTACCCTCTTGAATGAGAAGCCCCCATTTATAGTGCAGCCATGATCTATAATAACTTCCTATTCTGATCTTTCCATTGACACAGCAAACAAGAATAGTTAACTCAGATTTCTAGCATACGTTTCCAAGATGAGAAAAGGTTCATTTTACAGCCTCCTGCTCTATTCCCTGTGCAGTGTTTTACTCTTTGCCTGACTGAAACATTCCAAAGGTCCTATTAGCAAAAGACCCAGAAATATAACTACATTTTGACTTTCTATCTCCATTTAGAAACCTCCCAAACTCCAAGATTCCTCTTGCTAAAAACTGAACCTGTGTAAGAAGGCTTTGACACAATCTTTCATGAGGCATGAGACAGTGCTTATGCTAAATGTATATGGCATTTTCCAATAATGATATTATCCCTATGAACAAACACCTGTGTTGTTGGATACAGGGAGATACTCTGCATGCTAGCTGGGGAACTGGGTATTTGACTGTTTGTTTGAACATGTAGTTACCCAATTCACTCATGCAAATACCTGGCTGTAGGTGCAAACTGATGTTTCTGCAGATTTTACTGGGTTTGGTTTTCAGTATTGGCCCATAAATTATTTTAGTTTACTTTTCAGATATATAAGCTTCAATGTTAGTAGCGATCTGCTTATGAAGCACCCTCAGTTCTACCTATAACCAGCACTGCACTTTTCATTACATTAATCAGAATGGTCCCACTGTTACCGGATACTAACCCAGTTGTTGTATTCACCTGTTGCCTCTTGTTTGATATGACAGGGAGTTTTTCACTTTATGTGTATATGGTATCTGGTACAATGGGGTCCCAATTCCTGACTGATTCCAGCAACAACAGATTCAGTGCATAACAATAGAAATTTCCATCTCACATAACACAACTTTACTGCTATACACTTGAGACAAGGCTTTGTAACAAAGCAAGTCTCCCAACTGCCACCATCTCCATGCTTCCATGACAGCAGCAGTGGTAAATAATTGTTAATGGTTAAAAAAGAGTGAAACAGAGTGACAATGGTAAAAAACAGACAAAATATTAAAAGGTGCATTTTCTTGTCATCCTCATAAGATTCCCTCTTATGAAATTAAGGAGGAAAAATGGTTCATTTGTTGCTGAGATGCTGCCCATCTGTGTCTGTGTCTAATCACAGTTAATTATAAAGAGCTGAGCTTCTGTAATAGTCCAAGTCCCAGAGCTCTGGAAGGCCCATCATGTTATTCTATAGCTTTCATTGCCAACTTTTGTAGTTGCCACTTTCTATTATCAAGGACCAATAGGTAGAGATTTTACAGGATCCCTGGCAAGCAACACAAAGTAGCCCAGCTTAGTGCTAAAGCAATGACTAATCAGAATATCCCATGAGGAAGCTTTGCAATAGCTCTTGTAAGGGTAATGAGGACAATTTTCATAGCTGTGACATTTTAAGCCAAGCAAAATGTAAGCAACATTTTTTCCAGGCAAAAGTGCACAGTAGGTAAAGGGCAGCTCCAAAACAAAAAGGGTTTTTCCAGATGGGATGCATGGCACCATGAATGAGCATATGATTAGCAGCAATGTTTGTGTTGTTTTATCATAGGGCTAATAGCGAAATTCTATTAATTGCTGAATGCTGTTTTGTTTGGCAAATACAGGAAGCAGTTTACATGGCTACGCAGTGCTCTGGTTCACAGTCCCTCTGAAATAGTATTATTGTAATGGGATAATACTGATTAGGGACGGTTCCCTGAGGAAGGAGGGCCTTTTGATGATTGAGTCATTTCCTTTCTCTGCTCAACTTCAGGAAGATAGTGCTTCTCTCACCACAGACACGCACCCTTTGTATCCACAGGGTTCTTCAGCAGGGAGTTCAAAAGCGCATGCCCTGGCTTTAGATGTAAGTGCTTGAGTTAAGGGGTATAGAGAATGCAAAAGAGTAATGACCTGTAGAAATATGTCACACTTAGGTGTTCTGCTGTCACATTTCACTGAAGAATTTCAATACACTTTTCTCAAGCAATTAAGCCTCAGAATATAACTGTGGGACATTTAAGTAACACTCTTGTTGTAGTTTAAATGATTTAACCAAAGTTATACTGTGGGTCAATGACAGAGTTTGCAATGGAGCCAGGGATGAAATCCTGACTGTACTGAAATCAATACAAGGTTTTCTAGTGCATTCAATGAAACCAGATCTTTGCCCCATATGCCCCAATGGCCAGTCTCTGGTCTAACCACTACATAACTCAGCTTTTTAATTTTGTATACGTCACCATGTAAGAAAAGAAATCTTCTCTCCCACGAAGTTGTTTAAGCTCCATGTAGCATACTTTTTATTAGAAAGCTAAGATTTAAAGAATCTTTCTTTTAAAAACAGAACTAATGAGCTAGTTAATATGAATTTTCTATCCCCTTTTGCTTGTTAAATTTCTAGAGGCAAGCAAAGGCATAAATGTAGAAGTAGTGAGAACTTTTTCATAACATGCATTTGTTAAACTATACAGATATAATATCAAAGAGCTTATGATAACCCCCTGAGAACATTCTGAGATATAAAATTACTTACCTCAGAAAGAGGGTTGGGAAAATGCTGGTCAGATCCCCAGGTCAGCCTTACTGACGCTCAGCACAGCTAAGCAAAAAACACCTTTTCCTGCTTTTGATCATGGGCTGCCTGAGGGCCACTTTAGGTCCTGGTATAACTCAGGGAATCCAAAGGGCTGCTCTTAGTTACAACTGCAACAGAGTCCTGCATGTCACTGCCTTGGTCAAGGATCAGGCCTCTCTTTACTCTTCCCCATCTCCTCCACAGCATGGTGAGCTGTCTAGTACTGAGTATTTAGGAATCCTCAGGCACCCCCTTAGGGCTACCTTGTGGCTGAAGCAGCACCAAATGACTAGAATCATGACGGGCTTGAGAAGAGCCCATCATATTTAAACAAGAGTCATAGTTAAAAATATGTGACTACTGGTTACTTACCAGATGTCAGAATCTGCTCTCTTCCTCCTAGTACTGCTGATAGTCTGATGGTTCATATACTCTCTGGACATGATTCTTTTCTGCTACACTTGTGTATAACTGGAGTAGTTCCATTGCAGTCAATGGAGTAAAACCAGTATAAAATTGAGGTAAGTAAGGGGAGCGGCCCACTCTTCAATGTACTCTGGCACTAAGTTCCAAAATTAGTCTGCCAGCAACACCTTAACTCATGAATGCAGATGTTGGGCTCACCTCCTACAGTACTTGAAGTCTGTCACTGAATCCATTAGGAAATGGATGTTCAAGCCTCAGTCTGTGGGCCAGATCCTCCAGTGCCATGTCATCCAGCCTGTGGGGCTTCCCACAGGTCTGAAAATGCGGTGGTAGTGGAGCATTGCTTCTGTCCTGCTACATTTTCAGACCATAGAAGAGCCTGAAGCCCTACACACTAGGTCAGGCATGCAGGGTAGCACAGCTTAAACCTGGCATTTGGGGCCAGATCCTAGCAAATGGGGCTGGGTGAGAGTGGTGCAAGTTGCCAGGGCCCAATCCTGGTGTGCAGGACTGAGCAGGGGTGTTCCAGGCCACCTGGGCCTAACTCTGGCCTTCAGAAGCAGCATGGAAGCAACACAGGCCCTGATTCTGGGATGTGAATCACAAGAGAAGGCTAAGGGGGGACCTGGTGACTGTCTATAGACTCACTAGAGGGCACCAGAAGGGTTTGGGGGAGACTCTGTTTCCCCTAGCGCCCGCTGGCATAACAAGGAGTAATGGGCACAAGCTGATGGAGAGGAGGTATAGATTGGACATCCGCAAAAACTACTTCACGGTTAGGGCGGCTAGGAGCTGGAACCAACTTCCAAGGGAAGTGGTGCTGGCCCCTACCCTGGGGGTCTTTAAGAAGAGGCTGGATGCCTACCTGGCTGGACTCGTTTGAGTCCCATTTCTCTTTTTGGGGTTTTTTGTTGTTCTCCCGCCCTGGCGGGGGGTCGGGCTAGAAGATCTACTAGGTCCCTTCCGACCCTTAATCTATGAATCTATGAATCTATGAATCTATGAATCTAGCCCATGGAATGACCCCACTCTACTGATCTGGCCCACAAGGCCAAAGATTGAACACCACTGCTTTAAGACATTAGTCTTGGTAGCCCAGACAATCTAGGAAGCTCTTTTGTATTAGGAAGTCAGGCTTATGTTTTTCTGAAAAAAAGTTCTGAATTGTTAGAAAAAGATGCCAGCCCTGGAGAGGGAAGTTCCTACCTGCTATACAAAATACATATAGCAAGAGTAGGAACTCAACCTATTTTGCCCCAATGTGCCTTTACCCTGACCTCACTGGGCCACTTCCACAAATGACAGTATGGTTAATTTCTCCATTAAGCCTTTAACTTTGTTATTAGCAAGGTGTCAATCAACCCAGTTGCAGTGATAGGTTCTAAGATGTAGATACTGGGCGTGTTTACACAAGACACTACTGTGCACAGCGCCGGATTTAGGCTTAAGCTACTTAAGCTACAGTTTAGGGCCTCACAATATGAGGAGCCTCTAAATAAGAAAAAAAAAGACATTTTCATTTTAATTTGACAAATACATAGATAGATAGATAGATATGGATTAACAGTTATTATTCATATTAAGTTCATAAATGTATGCAGAAATAACAATAATTCATCTTAAAATTTCATGAAAATCCATTTCCATGGATTTTGTGGATTATTTTTATCATATGGGGCCTCTTAAACTGGACATAGCTTAGGGCCTCAGCATGTCATAATCCGGCACTGACTGAGCAGTAGCAACAAGTTTGCTTGGCGACAATACTGCACAGTAGTAATGAGCCTGTTGCTACTGTGCAGTAGTATCTAAAAAACCCCAACCCTTCCAGAGACTGTACTGCGCAGTAATGCCGGTTTCTGCATAGTCATTTAAAACTTGTTTCTGCGTCTACATGAGCTTATGCTTATGCATCTGCACGAGTGGCAGTTATTACTGCGCAGTCTGCCACTGTCTGTCAATGAGAACTGGAAGGAGGCTGTTAGTTCATTTCACAGAGACTGCTGAGCCATCATGTGGTGGTATTTTCTGATCACTACCAGTCAAGAGAAAATTCAGATGAAGGATCTAGGCTGAAAAATCCCATACAAGTCTCCAAACAAACTCTGTGCTCCTCACATTCCCAAAGTCTGCGGAAAATCAAATCCAGATTGAGGCGTTACAGCTAAACCCAATATACCCACAATGCAACCCTCTGAACTCCCAAATATTTGTCATATGTGGCATAGGGGATGCAGTAATGAAACTTAAGGCCTAACAAGGATTAGCAAGAAAATGTTTCTGTTATCACTTCTGAGCTAAAACTGGAGTCTTCACAATGTTTTCCCTTTTGAGGTGCAGTAATTGGTTTACGATTAGGCAGGAAGCTGTACCAGTATTATTGCTCTAAAGGAGCCAGTGTTATCAAAAAACAACACATCAGGGCCTGTCCTCACAGGAAGGGGATCATGAGTAATCAACAGTGCTATAATCCAATTGGCTGCTGGTCCCTTTGTGTGGACAGTACAGTGTGTAGGAAAAAATACTTTAGGGACTTTTGTTTGAAGTAACAGTATTTTAAAAGACACCAAATTCCTCTTTTCTTCTTGCTGTGGCTTTTCCAAACTTTCATGGGATTTCCTCAAAAGAAGTCATTGGGGTAACGATAGACTTATTTATATCAATGCAAGGCTTTTCATTGTGATGGATGTTTTACATCTATGGGCCCAGTTCTTCCCACTTACTTCACCAGTGCAAAGCTACCACCCCACAGCAAATGGTGGAGAATTCACAGCTCCTCTGTTCTACTCCCAACCTCTACATAGGCTAATTTTTGAAAGCTCTATATAAAATGGTAGATACACCCATATGCATGTGACTATGCAGATAATTGCTGTCACAGGAGCTGTAGCCAAGGTAAAGGGAAATTGGCCAATGCTTTTCTTATAGACATGGGACCATAATTCAGTCTTCCTACAAGCTCCCCATGGCTGCTGCTCTTCGGTTCTGACTGTGCAGTGTGCCCCTGGGATGAAACTGTGAAGCTCCATGGATTAAGCTCCATGATGGAACTGTGGCAGCAAACCAAGATGCAAGGATCTGCCCACCATGCAATCAGGATGCAAGACCCCTGCCCGCTAACACTACCTCTCTCATTATGCTCAATCCTAGCAGTAGAATTGATTGCAGCCATTCTTGGGGTATGGACTTGCACATAATTTACCTCAGGGTAAATGGCACTGGGTCTTGTGTTCATGCCCTTACCCTGCGGTAAGTAAAATCCAACTTGTGGGTTGTTTAGACCTTCATGAAAGAGGGCCAAGTTAGGGTTTGGCAACATTTTGTGGCAGGGAGGCCGGAATGACCCAGCTCAGGTCAGAGGTGGGTAGGCATTAGGAGTCAGCCACTACGGCCGTTTCTCCTCTGCACCTGGGCAGTTACCCAGGAGCAGCTAACACAGTAAAACCCATTCTCTTTGAGGTAGACTGTTTGCAGTCTGGAAAGTTGAACTCTGAGGAGCTGAAGTCAGGGAACTCTTTGTGCCAGGGTTACAGCTTCCCCATTGGTCTGACAAAACCTTGTTCTCCAAGGCTCAGTGCAAGGCCTACTTATTCAGGTTTTCCCTCAAGGGGTACTTTGAGTGGTAAAACTGTTTTCACGTCTCAGCTGCTCTCCTCAAGTTGACTTTTTGTCAGCTTGGTTGTTTATTTCATCAGTGATGTCTGTAAACTGAAGCCTTTGTGCCCAGAGGGTATGTAAACCAAGAAGCTTTTAAAAGCCAAAAGATAAATAAAAATACAATCTTGAATAAACAATAGGCTTTTGTCCTAATTTCCTTCCTTTCCCTAATGGATGCCAATAAAAGTTCTGCATTTCCCAGTGTATCAACACAACAGTGCCAGTTAATAGAAGACCTCACAGCCAATAAAATTGATGTGACCAAATCAATAGTCCAATACTTGTTTCCTTAAAACATTTCTTTAGCTATTGTGACCATAACAGGTTTCTACTTTCTTAGCAGAGATATTCTGCATTTATCCAGAAAGCATAGCATATTTTAGGGACCTACATATTTCCAATGAAGCCAGTTGAATTAAATCTGGCTCAGTATATATCACTGAAGCAGTTCTCTTCTCTTATCAAATATATTTTTAAACATCACATTCCAAAACTGCTTTAACTCTAAAAATCCTTAGGCTAAATAACTCCACTTACTTACTTAGAAAAAGCCTTTCCCTGTGCATACAACCTTAACCCATGGAGAAGGGAATGATGATTTAAATTTCTGCACTTTTTCTGTTTTGTTCTTGCGAACTAAAGACATACCCTTGACAAGATCTGGAAACATGCTTACGTCGGACCAGAATTAGAGATTCAAGCTATGAGATCATACACTTTGGAAATATATTTGATCATATTAAACGTAGGCCATGTCACTGAAATATGATAGTAACAGTTACGACCTGATTTTCAGAGGTACCAAGTAGCCTTCGTCCCATTTACTGCAATGGGAACTACATCCTCCAGGTTTGGGCCCCTGAACTATATCTCATTCAGTACCACTCGTCAATCACAGCTTAGTTATACTAATAGTACCAGTTCTTTGTATTTTCTTAGTGCCATTGTTGTATCAATCTCTAATGTCATCATAAACTTTAAAAGAACAGTCCTAGGTATGTCCACACATTCATTATTGTGCCATAGTTACTGCACATTTAGTTTAGTACTTTGCTAATGAAAAACTAAATGAATGCATAGTAACTACATTTACTGTGCAGTAGTGCTGGCGCACTTTTTTTTTTGGTGATACTTACTGTGCAGTAGCCTATTAACACTGAGCAGTAAGTTTTCAGCACAGTTTTTGACTGGCATGCTACTGTTTAGTGTTATTAGGCTACTGCGCAGGAAGCATCTGGTGTAGATGCACCTCCTGTGAGGTGAACTGGGGTTGCTGTTGGCCCTTACCACATTGAAAGGCCCAAAGGAATTAATCATTCCTGTTATCTTAATCTTATAAATCTGTAGTATCACCTGGACCCCTTCCTTCAGAAATCCATTTTGTGCACAGCTGCTCTTACCATGAAGAACTTTTCCTTATGTCTCTAGTCATTTTGTGTTCAAGCCATTGTTCCTGAGATATTGTGGTTTGTTTCTTCTTTAGCTCAGAAGTTATTTTTTGCATATTCTGTTTATTCTGAGATTGAGTCAAGCACTAGGGTGGTATTTCTATATTCTGATCTGTCCCTCTCATTTGCCCCTCTGTCCTCTAAAATTCTGTGGAAAGCACACAAGGAAATTTGACCCAATCTTGAGCTTGCAGCCTTTGAGTACAAGCTGCATAGTGCCAGCACTACACAGCACAGGCCCCTATGCAGTATCTGGAAGGGCTCAATACACACATATTGACCCCCTAAAAAAGATGCATATAAGCCATGCTTGAATGTCCTGCTCCAGTACTCTCCATCGGCTTTTCATAAAGGTCTAAAGGTAGAATGCCTTTCTACCCGGTGCCTTTCTGCCTCCTTCCCCATTCTGCACACCATGCTGTGGCTACTAAAACCACAAGGGAGTCTTACACAGGCAATTCCCATGGAGGTGCAATGATTCTGAGACAATGAAAATCACATCCTTTAAAATGTAGTCTGTGGTGAACAACCTCAACTACTTTGACATTCCCTGGAGTATGTTCAAATGGCTCTATTTTTTTTTCTCCTCTAGCTTTTCCTCAGCACTTTAAAATTCATCAGTGATAAAAGCCTGGGTCCAGGATTTCTGCTTCCAGCAAATATGATGTACGGGCATGTTTTTCCCAATTGTTCTTCCAATTCTAAACCAAGGGCAAGTCAGAACAGGCTGAGCACCCACCCATAGCTTTTGTTTATAGAAGTCTTCCTGGGCAAGCCACACCCAATCCATTTTTCTTTCTGAAAATGACAAAACAAAACAGGCTGTGCGCCTAATAATTAAGAACACACACACACAATGCTAGGGCAGGCCAGAAATAGGCAGCAGGCAGAAAAGACATAAAAAAGTATAACCATGAGCATGTCTGGACACAGACAATATATAGTTTGCATATGTGTATATATGTGTGCAATCAGTTGACTGTTTGTTGCCTGGCAATGTGCTGTACAGTCAAAATATTGCTTATCCTCTGTATTTATTCATTCTTATTGTTCATTATAAACCCTGTGTAGCACCCTTGCCATGGTATATCAGATAGCTTTCACAGTTCAGCTTATTTTTACTTCAGAAACAATGAAAAAAATATTCAAACAGAACAACGTGTAGAGCCATATATAAATATACAGCAAATTAGGCATGTGAATGAACTTCACACCCAGAAAGGAAAGTAGCAATATCAGAGACAAATGGATAACAGATTGATTTTGTGTCATAAGAGAAGCAGTCAGAAGTCATAAGTAATGCTATTTTTCTATCCTCCTGACTGTTTCTGAGAAATTATTTTGTCATTGTCTAAGAAGAAGAGGCAGCCCTTATAGAAATAAGTGGAGTCTCCATTTATGAGCATTTGCATAAGTGAGATTTAGGCAGGGTGTGGATTCAAGTAATTAAGAGGTGTATAATTAAATTATGAATTGCTCTAATAGAAAAATGAGAGAATCATAGCCTCTTTATTGGAAATCAGGACAGAAGATGCAATGTTCAAATCAGATTCTGAAGCTGGATTATGGCAAAACACATTTTGGACATGAGGTTGAATTATGATTCAAGTTATGATTAGACAGCCATACTCTTTTGAGATTAAAGGCCAGAATATAAAAGTATTTTCTCACTATCTGTTGCTTACTGTAAAATTTCTATGATTTAGAGATGAAATCAGCTGTGGATAGCAGAATAGCTCTTCCCCAGAACAGTTGAACCAGATCCAGAAAATAGATGTCTCTCTTCCAGCCTGGGATCCTACCCAGATGAAAAGAATATGAGTGAGTTTGGATCTTCCCCTCCTTAATACACTGCCTCTATCCCTCCCCCCTGCACCCCAGAATCTCGCTGTGTGAGAGCTGCAAAATGCCCTCAACTCACAGGCATATCCCTGGAAGCTAAAGGCACACAGCATGAAACAGGACTGTGAAGGACAAGCCTAACTTTGTTATGATGAATTCTCCCAGTTATAATTATTTGGAGAAAAATATTGTTCAATTGCTGCATAAACAATTTTAATTGGCTCAGGCGCCCAAAATGTGCTTTTTTTGTTTGGCTGCCAAGATTGCTTTCTCACTAGCTAATTATGCTGTGCTTTAGCTTTCAGCAAAAACAGGAAATAAAGCATCCATTACTCAAATGACAACTTTTCAACAAGCCAATATTTCAACATCCATTGTGTAATTTCCTATCCATAGCCAGTTAGAAACTAAGTGCTTTTAAAAACATATATCCCTTCTTGCAAAGGCCTGCTTGGGACTCTATGCTGCTCAATAAGTCAGACTGCTTGCAATTTGGACATGTGCATTGAAAAAGTTTTCTTCTGGGACCCTACCAGCAAGTTCTCAGCAGTGTGGATCACCACAATATGTTTTTTAGCACAAATATTTCTCAGTCTATATCTCTTTCCTGACTCCTTCAATTAATAAGTCTACTTTGGGACATCTTGGAAGTATATATCATCCACCTCCAACCTGGACACCCACAACTCTTCACATGGTAGCATAGACATGACTGCTAGCTACTGTTCCTAATGGATTCCCTCTTCCAATGCTTAGCTGATGAGGTCAGCTGGCTGATATCAGCTGCCTGTAGTGCATGCCTCAGGCACCCTGTATATTTCTCTAAATTTCCATACTATCCAATATATATAAATTGGCAAGTGTACCAGGTAAAAACTGGGGTGAGAGATATGAGAGGCTTGGAACTGATTCACGATTGTGCCTGAGGCAACTGATCTATGCAAGAGGAGCAACGTGGACTCTTGATGAATTGTCTTCCTTCTCTGGAGTAGAAATCACAGATGGTTGTTCCAAGCAGACAGCTGTCAGGGAAAAATAATGCCTTGGTTATATGACTGATGTAAATCGTTTTTGTGTTGACTGAGAGTATATTAAATTTGACATACCCAAGACTGCTTTTTCTACAGGTGCTTCTGGTCCATGGTACCTCAAAGGAATGCTGCTCTTTATATAGGTTGGGTATCTGCCCAAGAGCAAATAGAATAATTTCATCATGATAAGATGTGTGATTACTGAAACCATCAACTTCTGTTTCCTTTCACTGGTTCCTTTAGGCTACCCCTTCAACTCTCTTCAGATCATACATTTTGATAGCCAGGAGTTCCTCAATTTGATGTTCATTTTTATGGAGCTTCCTTCCCCCTCCTCCAAACAGAACATTGAGTCATTTTACTTCTCATATGAAACATTCCCAGTTTACGTATTCATCTGCTGTTAATGTACACAGGTTTGAGCTACCACTTTGTCCTGGACAGTAGCTTTACTTTGCAATATACAATATAGTCTAAGTAGATCAGTTGCTTCACAATATATATTCAAACCAGCTCTTTGTTTTTTCCAAGGAAGTTGATTGTGAATCTATTTCCAGCTCTGAAAAGGACACTTATGTATAGCACTGGGCATGTGACTTTCAATATAGAGAAGTTATTTTCAAAATTAAAGTAATTAATGTGACCTTTCCTCTGTAAACTCCCTAGCACAAAACATTGTTCATTAAAGAATGATCCAGGCTGCCTGGATATTAATTCATAGGGTCTCATGAGGTAACTATATTGTTTGTGATACTCATTTGTGGTCAGGTGGACACATTGTAAGAATTTACAATAGCAAATTTGCATCACAAGCTATGGAACTTGATGGAAACACATTTTTTCTTGTTGTATAGCCCAAACAAAGCAAGGATGAGATTAGGATGCTACATTTGAATTTATAAAAAAAATTATATAACTCAAACCAGTGGTTGAGATCCAAGCTCCATGTTACCGTATTCAAACTATTAATCTTAGGTCTTAACCCTCCTACACCCAACCCCCAGTGAGCAAATTGTGATTTTATAAACTCCTATTAATCTGTTTTTGGGTTTGCAAAAATAAGGGAGGTGTGGAATTTTATTTTAATTCCACTAGTGGCTTAAAGGCTAGAGCATATAACATTCCTGAAAGTGGGGCAGCCCTGCTGGATGCCCCGGATGCTGAGAATAGGCTACATAGCACTCCATTTATCTTCAGAAGGCTGGAGAGGTACAGGAGTACAGGAGTCAGATGGTAGAGGTGAAGAGGGTCCCAAAGCCAAAGGCCTCCAGAGTCTAAAACAGGGCTGGGTAAAATGGCAGATCTGGCCAGAGGCTGGACTCCATTTCCCAGCAGCTTCTGATCACATTGCTGTGGCTGGTTTCCATGGAGATCCCAGCGGCTGTGGGGCTGTGACACTGGGGCCAGGGTTTCCATGGAGACCGACCCCAGCAGTGCTGACATGGCTTGTGGCTGAGTGGTGAGCTGCTCCAGGGCTGGGGCTGGGATGTTGCAGCAGTGATGGCATGGTCTGGAGCTGACACAGAGCCATTATCTGCTGCCTGCATGACCCTGCCTGGGGCGTATGGACAGCAGATCGCAGTCTGCCTCAGCTCCAGAACATGCTGTCACTGCCACAAGATCCTGGTCCTGGAGCAGCTCCCAGTCCAGCCACACACCCTGCCAGTGCTGCTGGGGCTGGTCTCCATAGAAACCATGGCCTGCCACTGCTGGGGTCTCCAAGGAAACTGGCTGCAGCAATGCAGGCAGGGGCTGCTGGGAAATGAAGTCTACTATGGGCCTGATCCAGCCCACGGGCTGGACTTTGCCCACCCCAGTCTAGAATAAGAAGTTGAGGTTGACCCAATCATAGGATTTCTCTTGATCCAGAGAAAGAAGGATTATGTTCAGACTGAAGAGCTCTGCAGCTACCAGCTTGTCATACAGCAGAGAGAGAGACAGAGAGACAGAGAGAGATGCATGCTGGGAGATAAAGGGCATTTCCTAGTCTCAACGCACCTTTGTGCATTGAGTGTGCTTATATATACCAAGTGTGCTTATATATTAGTTGACTCTTAGATAAGGTTATTTCCAAAAGCTGCCTTGGGGAACTAAGCTTATATGTACACACATACAGTCATTTTCACCTCTTTTCTTTTCATCATCTTTCTCTGAGATTTTATGTGCCTAATAACCACCCTGTTTTACTTTAATCACACAGCAAAAGATCCCTGTGGTGTCCATGCTACACTCTTTTTATTACTACAATATTTATCACTAACTGACCCATGAAGCCTATTCAGCATATAACCCTCTTTTTTTGCTTTGACCACTATCCATTTCCCCTGTGTGTATCTCCCTCTTGCTCCCTGTATCTCATCCCATCCCATTAGCTCTCTGTGCTGAATAGCCTGTTCCAGGACATCAAACTTTAAATTAAACAGAAGATGATCAATAAGCTTAGCAAATTGCCTGTGGCAACCTCAGCAGTTTGAATCAAAGGCCTTTATATGTAATTTAAAGGGCATCCTCATTCACCCCTATGATGTGGTATAGACCTGTTATGTGCTTGGTCAGGTTAGCTGCAGTAGCCATCCAGGATGGAAAATGGTGCAGTACAAAGAGTTAGACTCTTCTGGGTCTTAATGATAGTGGATTTTGAGGTTAGAAGAGGCATGATATCTTGGAAATGTCTTCCAACCTCACCAGTATTTCTTTGAAGCTTAACATCCAAGGCAGTGTTAAGAAAACTGTTTTTTAAAAAGGAACTGCTAGCAGCATCATGGGACATAAGTACGCTGGCAGGGGATAGTGCCACTATTACTGCTGAGTATTTATCTTGTGGCAAAGTAGAAAGAAGATAGCTGGGCTGGGCTACACCAAAACAGGTACAAATACATAACAAATGACCATCCCTGTCCCAGGCAGTATATAGTATGTCATGCCCCATGCCTTGCTCACCCCATCTTGGTTCTGCATGGTCCAGGAGCTGAATGGCATGTCAGGGAGAAGAAAGAGGGACCCATTGCAAAACAGGGGCTCTATGTTCTGCTTTTCCCTTCTGTGACTTTTTCACTAATTTCATTAATGAGTATGGGAGCTACTGTTCATAAATGTTGTGAATTCCTGTTCAGTTATGACAGATTATAGCATCTATAATTTGCTTCATTGAAAATTCAGAGCTTGAGCTTTTTTAGATGAAGTATATCAGCCACATGTGTAAAATTTGTGTCTTGCTTTACAATAACTTTTTAGAGTGTAATCTCCTCAGAATAAGAACCGTTACTCCTCTGTGCTCAGTCCAGCTCTAACCAGGCTGATACGGTTACATAAATACTAATGAAATTATAAGAAAATGGGAGACGAGCTCAGAAAGACTGGAATGGAGCATCGAGAATTGGGAACTGTGTCACTTCCTCAGAATGTGAAGATGTGCATGACAGGACATGTCTTCATTTTGATTAAGGTTCAAAGGGAGTCCAAATGGCAGTGTCTTCCTCTTTCTTTATTTTCTGTATTAGAATATAGTTTGATAATCCCACTAGAGTCTATGTAAGGATTGTTTTTAACCCACTTGTGATTTAGGAACATCAAATTCTATATAACAGCCTAAGAGGAGTATAATACAAAATACTGTGTGCCATCTGTTCCAGCTAATGATGTTCTGTGGGTCTCTCCCACAACACTGTATCCAAACACCTTGAATTTTGCCTGGTAACATTTTCACCAGCAAAATTTCTGTTTGCCTGTCTGTCCATCTGGTCCATCATTATTGTATCTGAATTCTATGGAGTGGCAGCAAGAAGAACCATTAAGACTGGAAAAAAATAATGTGGTTACAGAGCAGAAAATGAATGGCATTTTAAAAAATGGAAACAGGCTATGAATTAGCAGCCAGGACTCAGAAGGCCAGGGCGGTTGGGGGTGGAAACTTCACCTTGCCTTTGAAAACCTTGTTGCCTCCTTGATCTGACCCCCATCCACTGATATACTTTCTGGAGCCAGGTCCCAGGCAAAGCCCTGGCTGTTCAGTTGAACCTGCACTCTGTCCTCTTTGCTTCATGCCTCTTGGCTGAAGTGAAGGCTCCCTTTCCTGTGTGCTTTAAAGTTTTTAAAAAGGGGAAATGACTAGTGATTGAAAATGGCTCTGACTTAAAAGCTGGTATTATTTATTAAGGGAACAGAATTATTGAGTAGGAGCCAGAAAAGCCAGGCAAACAAAGCAGAGCATACACATATTTAATCTGTTTAGACAGGTTTAAGATTATGGCCTGGTTAGTAGCTTGCTCAGGTCAGTGTAACATTAATTAGCCCTGGTGACAAACAGAAAATGGTGATATGGAGCCATAATTTAGGATACTTAGCAAGAAAATGTCTTTGAGGTAGGTTGAATGGAACAGAATTGTCTCTGGTGGTTGTGCTGATGGTTATTAGCTCTGTGTGACTTGGTCTCAGCGCAGGAATGTTGACCACTATACAAAAAAAAAGAAGCAGAGGCTAACCACAGCTCTGTATCTCTGCACCTGTTGGCTTTGGAAAAGCCTAGGGTGAACCACAGTGTTGTAACTTGCACTGTCTCTGAAGGGAAAAAAAGCCCAACCAAAACCAAGGCCAAAAATTTAAATCATGTTAATTTTGGTGCCATGTTTTCTGGATGCCCATCTTGGGCCACTTCAGCACTGATTTTCATAGATGCTGTGAATGTAAAACTTGACTTGCAAGTCAATGGGAGCTGTAGATGCTCAACATCTCTGGAAAAGGGCTCGCAGCATCTAAATCTGCCCCCGCCCCAAATGGTGACTCTTGGAACTGGAGCTGTGTTTGGGAATTTTAACTGCAAGTTTCCAGACCTGAGCACTGTATAAGAGGGAGGAGAATTAGAAACAAGCAAAGAGGGCAAGTCAGCTTCTGCAAAGTCCAGTACCAGTCATTGCAAATATGTGTGCCATTAATTCAGAAAAGAGCTCTATTTTCCTTCCTTGGGCCAGCATGACAGATGCCAGAATTAAAATTATGTAGAAGGGACAGACACAAAACAATGATCTAAAAATTATTATAGCCAGAAAGGGTTAGCCTGGCATTTTAGATATTGTTTGGGCTCTACCTTTTTGTCAGGTTCACAGTCTTTCAACCACTCTGAAGTCCAGAGGAGTGTCAGGTAAATCCTTTATAAGCCACAGCTTTAGGAAATTCAATACTAATTTTTAAGCTGCACACAGAATGAAATGTTGTCTCCTGTATTACATGCATTCCTAAAATGGGTATAAAACACCCAAGTCTCTTTTGTGATTTGTTTTCTGTATACCATTACAGTAGTATATGTGTGGAAAGTTGCTGGAGTTTTGCCTGGGCCATAGCAGCAGTACAAGGGGCCTGCTCATCTAGACTAGAAGCTAAGAGCCCGAATAGGGACTCTGTCCTAGCCATCCTTCCTCACTGCTGGTTTTAAGGACAGGGTCATGCATCTCATGGGTCACTGTGAAGTTAGAATTAGGTTCTCTAGCTGATAGTGGGGCCTGGGCAGGCCTCTGGCTATGTCAGAATTAATATAAGCGCAAAGGTAGGTGAAAGGCCTCTTCTTACCCCATTCCTATAATGAGCAGAGGAACAAAGTGAGAACCAGGGTCCATAGACCTGGAACATGTACACCTAGATCTCCATGTTCCTGTGTGTTGATTCCAAAATGAGTCATATTTCTGACCTAGTAACAGTGAAGCAAATGCTTCAGTCAATGCAATGGGTTTGATATGATTAATTCTGAGGAAGCCAATAAATTATACATAAAGTTGGCTGGATATTTTTAAACAAAATGGTTTTTTTCCATCAAAAAATGCTGGTTTGTTGAAATTAAAACTTTTAACTAGATAGGCAGGTTCTGAGGAATTTTCCATACCCCCTGAAGGTTTAAAATGGTCAAAATGTCCCACTTGGACATTTTCCAAATGAAAATATTTCAGTTCAAAGAGTCTTTTTGTTTAGGAATTTAAGTGAATTTATAGTAAAAAAAGAATTAAAAGGTGGAAATATAAATTCAATGTTTACAGAAATTGAAATGGAACCAAACCAAAATACTTTCTGAATTTGGGGATTACAAAAATTTGGGGGCTTTGGACTTTTTGTCTCAGTCTAGATTGAAAACAATTTGCAAAAATTTTCCCAGGATGAGAAAACTGCTTCCAAAAGTATATTACTTAGATATCTGGATCTATTCATGGAAATTGGTTCTGAGGGGTGTATGCTAGAGTATGCTAGCAAAGCCTCCTTGTTATCCAAGTGTTGTGTCATGGCGAACTTACTGCTACTGCTAACTTTGAAATTGTCAGACAAAAAATACAAATGTTGTGATATTAATTTGTGAGAGAGGCAAGCGATTCTTTTCAAATGGAAAATACATATAAAATATGGACTCAGTCTTACCTGCCTTTTGCCTCGCCAACTAAGATAGGATACTGCTCCAAGAGTGTCATTCTTTGAGGTGTTGAGAATTGTCAACTCTTACCGAAGGTGCATCTCACCTCAGAGGGTCAGACGCTACATTTGATTTCCAAGCATGTATTTCCCACAGGCCGATGTGGAGAAGTATTTGATTATAGTTTAATCTGCATTCTTACAGGCACTGATACATGGCCTGAAAGCTTGCTGGTCCCTTAAGATCATTTGAACATTTCTAAGTGGCCACAAAACAGCCAGAGCCAGCCAGTGGAAAACTCTACCTGCATAGAAAAACTTTCCATTAGTGAAAAGTTGGTGGAGCTGGTTCTGCCACCTCTTGTGGCAATTACCTCCGCACCAACCTGGTATACTGGGAGAACAATCTGTTGGTGATGCTCCAGAAAAATGGGGGAGGAGGAGAAAGCAAGGAAAAGCAGACCAAAATGCCATGCACTTTAGTGTAAGTTTAGTGGTGCTCTTCAGCAGTGGTCTTTATGGGCACATCTACACGAGACACTTTATTCAGTAGTGTAGTTTACTGTGCAGTAAGCATGCACATCTACATGTGTACACACTTACTGTGCCATTAAAACTAATCATGAGTAAATTTGATACCTACAAATTAAGGTATCAAATTTACTCATGATTAGTAACTGCGCAGTAATGCATGTGTAGACATGACCTGGGAGCAAATTTTTTCCCAGGTCAGTCCTGTCACTAGGGGTCTGAAGCCCCTGTCCTAGGGCTGGCCAGCCCCTGCCTCAGGCCTTTAAAAGCCTGCAGGCATTTTGAGCCCTGGGGCACACAATTAGGGAGCCTGAGGGCACTCTAGGCCCTGTGTCCCCCTGGGCAGGCTGCAGGCCAACTGCCCCAGCCTACCTGCATCCCAGCACTGCTGCCTGGCACCACACTGCTACAGGGCTGCCAGGCCCATGCCATCCGGGCCTGCAGGCTGCTACAGGCCTTCCAGTACCCAGGCCCAGCTGCAGACAGCTTCTGGCTTCCGGGGCCAGCTCCAGCTGC